TTGAATGCGTTCACAACCAACCTCTCTCGATGAAGAAAAATGTTTGGGAAATTCAATAACAGATTCTTATTTTGTATTGTTTTACAAAGTTTATTTATGTAAATTAAATTAACTTGAACAAAGGCATACACTTAAACTCAAAGCGTCTTCATTAACATTCATTGAACATTCCTTCCTTACTTGATAATGTTGCTCGATGTCATTATTGTTTTAATTGAAACGAAGCTGCTTTAAAGTAGCATAATGGCTGGACAAATTGTTTTCCATTGTTTCGGTGTTTCATTTTTTCAGCGTCTCCAGATTGGAAGAATTACCGGCTGTATCTCGCAGCAAACTTTCCAGCGATAAGCGTTCGTAGCGTAATGGAAAAAATGAAACGTCTGCCGTTGGTATTTAATAAGAAAATTTGCTTAACTGATACTTATTAACTGCTTGTTTACATTTATTTTAACTGTAGATGAAAAAAGTTACAAACCAAATCACAAAGAGTCTGCTCTTAAAAAAGTTGTTTAAAGTATGTTAAGCTTACGATTGTTAGTCAGCAGGCATTCTCAAAGATGATAATAATAGAAAATTATCCAATAAACCGCAATATCGGCTAACATTATGTGCCTAAAAATGTGAATATAATATAAGCAGTTGAAAAATATTCTTCAATAGAAAAGCAGAAATTAAAAATATCAAATTATTAGGTCTGTTGTGTAACCACTCGTATTTCGTCCAAATGTAACGGCCTTTACTCGTAAACTGTTAGATAGCTTTAATCATCTATAAGTATTTTACAGTCTTTAAATTCTTGTAAATCGGCACGGAACTAAGTTATACAACTTGCCATAAACGGAAATATTTGGTGAAAAATTTTCATACTTAGTGTGAAAAATTCGCGTTTTATAAGAAAACTTCTGGCGCGTAATTTTGGAAATTAACTTGTCTGATTTAATGGGGATTTATTAACGAAAATGAGACCAATTTATGAATACGGTTTTGCTTTTGAGACAATAGCTAACCTTGCAAGCACTTGCAAATAAAACTAATCACTTTCATCTACGTTTTGATCATTCATAGTCAGATGCAAATTGGGCAAGATATTGTTACTTTAGGAAGGTTAGACCTCCAAACCTCTGATAAATATTCATGAGATGAATGTGCAGTAATATGCCGCATTCTTAGATTCGAAGCGACGTCTTCCAGAAAAGGAAAATAAATTGCAAGTAGTTACATTTTTTTGCACAAAGCAACCAAAATTTCCAATGTTTAAAAAATATATTTGTGGTTGCCTCACCTTCTGCCACCTTTTCTTGTCTAGATCGCTGCTCTAGCTGAAAGAAAGATTTTAAGATTTTGTATAGGAACCGATCTTGAGGGATGCAAATGAAAATTTCTTTCTCGCATTATCTCGCAGGAGTTATCGATGTCGCAGTGATGGTGGTCGCAGCTGCTTTTAATCAATCCCTTAGAAACCCCCATACCATTATGTAACAATGGGTATGGTCCATATTCATCCGATCTGACGCGTTTTAGTTTTCATTTATAATATAATTTTTAACATGAAATATTCGCCCTTGGGCGACACAAATATCGCAAGTTAATATATATTCATTCAAGCACTCGAAAATTGAGCCATAAAGCAGGATGTAATGCACATAACAATGCGGGAATATAACGCAGCCGTCATTTTATATCAGCAAGATAATATAAAATTTTATATGAGTTGTGTATTTCAGTGTGCATGCCAAACTAGTGAAATTTCACTTTACAAGAATCTAGGTACCTGAACACTTCCAAAATTAATAGGACTACTTCCTGTGTCTCTTGACAGCCATTTTCTTATCACATATATTGAGCAAACTTTATTTTGTGCGTGAAAAGTACTTTTTTTATTCCCATGTTGATCGTTTTCATTGTATTTTATCGTTCTAATTTCTCCTTCGTCTTCAGTGATCGTTAATAAACCATATTTAAAATATTATGTTACACGGGCCTCTAAATGTTCACAAGATTACTGGAGAATATACCGTAATAACGTTTTTTAAAAATTTTCATATATATTATTACGAAGCATTGCTGGAGGTTTAGGGCACATATGCCGAATGTTTTATTTCTGTCTGAGTCTGGAAACGTATGCAGTTTGATAAATTTGGGTGCTAACCCTGTCAATAACTTAACGTATTTAAACCCTGGACGATCAATTTGTCCAAATACTCCTTGTCGACCCTAGTTTGATCAATAACCCTGAGAATGTGGCTGGCATGAATCGATTGGTCTTGAAAATATATTTCCTAATTTATTCGAACATTTAGTAGAAGGAACTGACTTGAGGGATACGTATAACAGGCATTAGGTCGAGGAAATTCCAATTTATCAAGCTATTGCTCTACAAAAGATTATTTATTTGAAGGAGGGTTTTGAAAGTTTCCAACTAATCTTTTACATGCCTCTTGAACTTTACGTGCTAGCGTTCCTCGCTATTTCAAAGTTTTACTCTGTTGCAAGCCGTATAAACAGAGTTGTCATCGGATTATCGAATTACCTCTGCTTTTACCTTGTTATTCAATTTAACTACGGAAATAGGTCTCTCTACTCTCCTGAATAGGTAACTAGTTCATGCCGATACAATAGAAAATTGCAGACTGGAGTTAATTCCAAATTGCCAAGTGCAATATTTACCTTCGCTCTCAAAGTTTAAGCTTGATACGGTTCCCGCTTTAGATGAGTTAGGATGTGCATAATCTTATATCGCAAATGCGCTCTTCATTGAAATTAATTATTTAGCAGCTTTGGAGTTTGCTTAATGCAAAAAATCAGTGAAAGGATGCAAAGAAAATGGTTTTCTTAATGCACAGGTGGGATGAAAGCAAATCCTTTTCAGCCAAAATTTCACTGAAAGCATTTTTTGCTAGGAGAATTAAAATTCATGATTCTCATGTGGACCTTTGATTTTCTGGATTGAGAAATCCAAGACGCTGAACTTTGGGCTAACATAAAGAACCACGGAGCATTAGGAATCCATCAGGTTCCACTTTACTTTCTGTGAATGCTGTCTGAGGGTAAAAAATATTTTTACTGTTGCACTCAGTGCGCTTACCTTTCCCCGTCTTCTCCAAATGTAGACGCGTGATTCCCATGATGAAAAATGTTCTTTTATGAAATAGTATATATCAGGATTTTTTTAAATAACGACTGCATTACATGCATATTATACAACAGGTACCATATGACTGCAATGAGTAATGCGCACCAATATTCGCGATACATCCTAATTGATTAAATTTGCCTCGCAGATCTGCTCCCATAATTAGTAGCCAAATATTTATTAGACAGCTTATTGAATTTAGCTCAATTTAATTGTGCACGATAATACGGTAATAGGCTAGATATCAGATATCAGTGCTCCACAGTTACCGCATTTGGGCACTATTTTTTTCAGAACCTGAAAAACGCAACTGCTATTAACCATATCCATACTGGCGTTGATTTGTGAACGAGCTCAAGCCTGGATGGTATTATTTTAGTGTTGCTGACAGTTATTTATGACCCGCAATTACCATACATTATTAGCTTATATTTCAGGGTCTGTTGCGATGAAACGAAACGAAAATTAGATGTTTACTCTGGTTTAGCCTTGTAAGCTAAATGACCATATTTACTGGACTGCAACCAACTAACTTAATAACACAATGTATACAATGACGCTATTTGCATAACAGCCTAATAATATAATTACGATCTGGCTAATTGCTGTGTGCAAAGGGAATGCCGATATTTGTTTTGCCATTTTTGAGCTAATTAGACATTAGTAATAACTGATTAATAATTGACGCCGATGTTTACAAATAAAAATGGAATACTTTTGATGTGGAATAAAAATAAGTTCAAACCGATTTTAATAAATACTATGGAAAAACCACCAGCAAATAAAACTTTACTGGAATGTTGTACCAGTGAAAAACGTGTGGTGAAATAATTGCTTGACGATTGAGACGAGATATTTTAGTAAAAAAAAACCGCAACTATTTTAACTATTTCGTGCTGCACCCATTTGCAATTGCTGTATCCTGATGAAGCTTCTGAAAGAAACACCACAAGTGTAAATAACGTTCCCTGTTAATGAAAGGGTTTATTATCAAGGACTAGACGGAAGTAGCTGCTACTTATTTTGAACTAAAAGCTTCGAAACGTTATACTAAGAGTATAACGCGCGTGATTCTTTTTATAAGGGCAGCAAAGGTTTGTACGCGTTATTCCTTTCGCACAGTTATCAAGACGGGTGCGGTAAAGTTTGGGCAACTTTTTGAACATTTTAGGAAATATATTTTATTTCTCCACTATACTGGTCTCAAGTCTGGGGTACCATTGCACTAACGGGAAAGGAGGAGGGGGAGGAGTAACAACCTCGGTAAAAAAACCAGGGTTGATCTGACCCGAATGATAGTACCCTGTGAGAGCTCCTGCCTATGATTACAGGTGAAGAAGCTGCTGCATTGTAGTTAAGGTGTTGGAATCGTCAAAGGCTAGGGGAAGAATACCCCTATAAAAAACTACCTGGTCCTCCAAGTTGGGTGTTGGGACATCAGACTAGCTCTCTGGTACTCAGAAAAAAACGTAATGTTAAACAACCCAATCAAAGGCTTTGGAATGGAAAGAAAAGCAACTCAAGAAACGCAAACGGACAATGATTTTTGGTACATACCCAAACAGCACAAAGACATCTTAAAGACGCCTTGAAGACGTCTAATTCAGATATGTGAGACGTCTTAAAGACATCTGTATATGTCTTGAAGACGTCTTAAAGACGTATGTTGTTACAAATATGGACGTCTTGAACAGACATCTTAAAGACGTCTTGAACAGGTCTTGTAGAGGTGATTTAAAGGCGTCTTGAAGAGATGACTTAAAGGCGACTTGAAGAGACGCCTTAAAGGGATGCCTTCTTGAAACACGTTTTCAAGGGTGTTAGGAATATTCTATGGGAAGTTTCCTATTGGAAATGTAAAATAAAATATTTCATATTTTTATTTATTAGTGTATTTATATTTATTTTTTGTATTTTGTCTATCAGACGCTCTTCTAATCCAATTTTGGATGGCGTCTTCAGTCTCTTTGGTGGTGCTCGTAAGGCCTGCTTTTGCCGCGGCACCTAAGAAATGAACATATTATTAATAGATACACATCTAAATGTAATACTTTCTTTAAATTAATCTAATCTTAAAATTTTTATATCTGTCGGATTAACGTTATTTTTCAACACTAAAACACGCGTGTAGAATAAAAATTGTCGATACTCTGTTGCCTTCCATCTTTTGAGTTCATCTAAGCTCCGAGGTTTCCTGTTAAACTCTAAAGGCGTTTTGGGGGAAACTGCAATTAAAGCATCTGAAATATAGGCTATTTTGTTAGCAGATAATTTTGTTGAAGGTTTTCCACAACACCACAATAACAAGAGTTTTTTAGTAACACCCAAGCAAACCAAGTGCATATAGTCTAACGGAAAAGATTTGATCATGTCAAGTTTAGGTAGTTTTTCTAAAATTGAATTTTTGGCGGAAATTACAATCTGTCCTTATACGTAGGTTATGTATGTCAGGAAATACACCAGAGTAATTTCCTTCAACATTACATTTTGAACATGAAGAATACCCAGAATGACCTTTAATAATGGATTTTACATATTATTTTGCAGGAGCGTCACAAGTAATTGCTTTGATATATACTGCAAACTGTTGATTTTGATACAAGAAACTTTATTGATAACTTCAGTTGCATCGTGCACAAAGTCGGACAAAAATGCATTCGGGTGTTTTGGCTTCTGATTGCCATGGTATATCTCTATCATTTCTACAATGTTTTTATTGCCCGAATTACTGGCTAATAGTGGATATACCTGACTTGAGGAACTTTTAGCAAGTGGCAATCCGTCAATATTTATAAGAATACCTACTGAATGATTCAAGGTGTTAATTGATTTTTGGTCTAAACGGTTAAAAATACTGTTGAGTCACTCATTTAGCCCAAAATGATAATAATGTCTGGGCATCACTGATTTTAGTTCAACAGACCTGACTGTTTGAAGAAGCAAGGTTTTTGCATCCAAAGGCAACTCTTTACAAATAGGTTGTACTAGTTTTAATAAATCATTTAAAGCAGTATGGGCTATATTGTGCTGCATTGTCCATTCTATCAACTTTTCTTTAAATGATTTATTACTACTACTACTGGTAAAACTATCATAAGTAGGATAACCTTCAAATTCATCGTCGTCTGATATGGAATAAGTATCCGAATGATGGCTTAACAATTCACTGTTGTCATTGATATTACGATTT